ATATATATATATATATACTAGTAATGTCAGTCGCGTAATGCGCGAACCTGGCCCAGTCTATCTGTAGATCTTAGAAATGTTTATATTTTTTTAAAAAAATTTGTATTTGGAACGATATATTTTAGAAATGTTTGAAGGATTTAGAAATGTTTTATAAGTGTGATCATAGAAGTATTTGTATTTAACAAAAAAAAAATTGTATTTCGCCATGTATGTTTTAGAAATGTTTTATAAGTGTTACTTATTAAATATAAATAGACTTAATCGGATATATGTGTTGAAGTAAAATGTTAGACAAAATATAAAAGTATCCTAATAAGTTTAAATATTAGTAAGATGATTTATTGATGTCTTCCATTGGTCGTGCCAAATCAATACTTAATTTTGGAGATTTTTAATAGCTTTGTAATAAGTTTCATCCGAAGGGTATACGCTTAAAATAAAATTGACACTTTGTAACTAAAACCTAATTGATTAATTCAATTTAGACTCCATAATTAAGAAAAGAAAACCACTCTAATTGAATGAAACATAAAGAAAAAAAAAAAAAAAAAACGTGTCACGTAAAGTGCAAAGAGGGATTTAGTAATTTAGTTATGGTTAGACAAAAGGGTAATTTAGTACTTTCTTCATGTCACGTGGCAATCATAGGAGGTGTTTGAAAGGGGATTTTTATTTCTAATATAGTAGGATATATATATAAAATAAATTAATTAGTTTCTTAGTTTATTCAACTAAGAACCTGGTAATTTAATAATATGTGGTAGAAATTAAAATGTTTAAATTTTGTAATTTGTAAAAAAAAATATTCTTGTTGATTTGAAATGGATTAAACATTGGAATACTTGCGAAAATTTATAATTTTATGCTTTAATTTTTTCAATGAAATGGTGTTTTTATGAATGTTGAAATATTACTACTTTCATGGTTTTTATATCATCCCTTTTACCCTATTAAAGCAGAATACATGATGTTGATATGACAACTTCTTATTAAAATATTTTGGCTCCAAATGCACCATATTGCATTAATCATTCTGTCACGTATCATCTCTTTTTTAAAGAAAAAAAATTTCTTATCCAGAGAAGCAAAAACTACTTTACAAAAATAGCTACACAATTTTAACTCCTAACACTTATTATTTATCAATCAAATTAAGATAGCATTTAAATTTTCCCATAAACTTATCCCCTTTATTACTCCACATTCTTTTGTATGATTTCTGCATTGTTGTACTTTTCAATATTTTTTCTCCTTTTGCAGATGATTTTTTTATTTTTATTTTTATTTTTGGCTAAAAAAGGAAAAAAAACAAATGTATAGCTATTTTATTTTTTCCAAATCAAGAATTCATTTATCTATTAACACAAAATTAAAGTAGAAAGGATGCCCGGACATCTGCCCCGGCCAAGCATCTAGTTATATATTACATCAGAAGATAAATGTGCCCCCTCCGTCTTTCGAGGCCAAACAATGCAATGCCTTATTTCTCCAAAAACTAGTCTTTTAGTGTCGCGTGTTGCGCGACCAGTCTATTTTAACATTTGTGTACTTCGTTGGACTTAGTAGGGTAAAATAAATTGTATTCAAGAACATGTTGAAAGATATGTAATTTAAATATAATAAATATTTTGTGTATGTTTATAGCAAAAAATCATTAATATCAATGTTAAAAAGGATGAAATAAATAATAAGATTAAAATAACGAAAGCCACATGTGCCGTGATATTTTCTATTGTTCGGCTAGCTCGAAGACCTCTTTGTAAATGACGTTCAGAGTCTTGTTGTCCTCTTCTAATACCTAATTCAACGTAGGAGGCATTGTTAGGACCTTTACTGCCTTGAATGTCTTTGCTTTAGATAGAGCGATGTACAGCTATCCATGAGAAAATACCAGCTCGCGCAGATACAGGCCGACGTATTCGAGAGTCTGTTAATGTGACTTGTTGATTGTCATGGCGAAGCAGAATTTGATGGAAAATTGGAACCTCTTGAACGCGATACCTTGTACGCTGATGTCGTCGCATTTGAGGGGACAAATTATAATTCAATTTAGGAAATATTTGTAATCCTTTTACAAATAGGTTGTAATACAAGCCTTGGCAAAAAAAAAAAAAAAATGAAAGAAAGAAACGGACAAATTCTAATACAACTAAGGAAAATAATAATAGCCCATACAAATCAGAATTCCCTTTTCTTCTTTGTGTTTCATACATAACAATCCTGACAATCCTAAACTAAACCCTATAATAATCTATCAGTATCACATCCAGGCAATAGTTAAAACAACATGTTGAGAAACAGCATATGCAGCCTTTTCTTCATCTCTATCCTTCATAGACCTAGTTCTTTTAACTTAAGAAGACCCTCAGGAGCTTCCATCCTGGATAAAGAGAAACAGAAGCTTGTAAGTTTTAATTGGAGGCATATTAGGCTATTTATATGGACAAGTCTGAAGCTAATGACAATGCAGGATGGATCAAGCTTTTTCCCATATAGAGATTAACAAAATAGAAGCATTAAATCAATAACCAGTTAACATTTCCTCAAACCGTATAAATCTCTCCATTTTTGTTCAAGCACAAGTTCCACTTGCATTGTTGAATTGAAAGTCATGCTCACAACCACACAAGTGTAGGATGAGAAATTGCTTTTTTACTGGGTGCTTCTTTTTGCAGAATGAGAAAGAGAAACTAAAATCAAATTGAGATTATGGATGCATAAACCGTTGATCAGTCTAACGCATGATACCCTATCCTATTCAGTCTATATAGCAATAGCTGCAAGTTTCTTAAATTTATAAACTGAAACCAGAGATGATTTTGGTGAACTCAGACAGGGAATAAACACAGTAGCAATGATAATACATCAAAACCCAACAGTCCAATAGGTGGAAGAACTCAATCAAAAATTAATCGAAAAAATTCAGCTTTTTTAAAAAAAATAAGTTGATATGAGAAATTGATGTACCCCTAATTTATCTTTCATTCTCATTTCAAACTCATACAAATCAATACTATTTTGTCAAACCAAACACCTTCCCTATTGTCTTTCATCAGGATAATATGTATTCATGAAACTAAAGCCCAATGTAATCAACAACAACTACAGGAATTAAAACGAAAATCCAAATTTAACCAGATCGAAGCACAAGAGATAGATCTAAAAATGAACAGAACAATTCAACTTACAGTGTTACCAAGGGCGTCTAGATGAAGTACAACGCGACACAAGAACAAAGCCACCGATCGCACCAATTGTCGCCCTTTTAGTTTTTTGTTCGATTGAATCGAAATTTATTCACCTACTGAAACAAATTTAAACAAATAAAATTGGCAGTAAGCAACTTTTTCTCTTCTGTGTAGAAAAACTCTTAATATACATTAGATTATCTGAACCATAGTATTTCTCACTTCAAAGCATTATGTTTTTCCGTAATTCTTGGTATTTTGAAAAAATACTGCCAAAAGTACAAAATGTAACCTTGCAAACCCAACTGATGAATCTATCTATTTTTTGGTATACCTAAAGTCTAAAAGTAATATCACATACATAATTGTCTGATTACAACAATAACATATTTTAGAGGGATGAAGTTATGTAAATTCCTTAAGTAATTGTGGCATTGTTCACAAGAAAAATTCACATTGGCAGCTACAAATCTACCAAGCAGCTACTCCGTGCCATAGTTTCACAAGGGGAATTGAGATTACCCGTAAAAAGAGCTACCTCAACAAAAATACCAAATTGTAATATGTAAGTTTGTTTCGGTTTTCCATAACAATACAAGTTATAAGCCATGTTTATTTGCATATTCAACTTATCATTCAATGTTAAATCAAATCCAATATCCGCAGATTCATGATTCAAATCAGTTCAACCAAATCCTGAATCAACGAATGCATCATCAACCTCATTTAGAAACACATATGATGAGGAACTGGCTCGGGAATTATACGCACTCAAAATAACACAGTGCACAGATGCTGCAAAAAGTGGAGAGTGACCAAAAGAAACACAATTTGTAAAAACTAAAAAAGAAAACAGCAAAAGATTCATAAACATGCTTTTCAGTAACCGACTTATGTTAAGTATAGCACACTACAGTATATCAAAACCCCACAATCTAACCGATGAAAAACTTAGTCATTTAAACCAAGTAACCAATTAAACTATTCCTGTGGTTTGGTTTTCTTTTATTTCTTTTAATTGCTCTTGAATAGACAAAATCTTAAATAGATATATTTTGAGATTTTTTATTGATGAAGGTTCATAGTTCAATTATTTTATACTGTTGGAAATTTGGAATCTCTAATGCTGGGAACTATGGTGTGCAAATTTCCTACTTTAAAGAACAACTCTTTCACCTAGATGCATATGCCATAGTGACACTGAAGCTAAAAGGAAGAAAAATCAAAACAAAAACACAGTAATTCAATCAATAAAACATCAATCAAACAACCGGGAAAAAAAAACTAATTTCTACTTCACTGTATTTGCAGTTGCAGAGCAAAATAACAAAATGACGATAAGAATCCTACTTTTTAATCAAACAACATAACTTGAAGTGCTCCACATAATAATTCAATATAATTCACAAATGGAAGTAAATTAAGGTCAAACCTGAATTATGAACGTCGAAAAATCTTTAGGTGTAGAAGGAATTCGCCCCACATAATTGATACATTAATGAGCTTTCTTGCCGAATGGCCTCCTTATTTGCAGGAGTGAATGTTCTTCGCTCAGCCAACGGCAAAAAGACAACCCGAATTGGAGATTTTTTTAAAATTAACCCCCATTCTCGAACTCCTTGATCTGGCTACGAAATACCTCATAAGAAATCCTAAATCGGTGATGAAAAATTGGAAACCACAAGCTCAAATTGATTTTCATTAGCAAGCTGGATTCCCATCGCTCCAATCCAGCCAACAATTTGGTGCGGAGCCTTCAGAGGTCGAAGCGGAGCATTAAACACAATAGGAATTCAAGATGGCGAATCCCTAAAACAATAACGAAATAGCAACAGAGATGGCGGAGGCAGGGGAGGCGACGATCTCCTCGACCGCTAATTTGGCGAGGACGGAGATGTCCCTTCCGGTGGCGGATTGCTGGAGGGCTTGGAGAAGAGCGCTGGATTGTCGGAGGGCATCGTTGGAGCGGAGGTCCGCTTGGATCTGAGCGAACAACATTATCTTCGTTTTTCAAAACAATTATTTGGTTTTACCAATTTGTTGGGCTTAAATAGATGGGAAAAGCATTCACAAATTGCAGCCGGATCTTGCACCCTTAAAAACCAAACAAACACCATGCCGAAACCGCAGCAAAGGTCGATTCAAAAATCGACGATGGTGGAGAGAAGAGGCGGAGGCGGAGCTGGGGCGGCAGAAGAGAAGGAACGGGATTGGGTATTTTAGTCTGGTGTTTTCTTTTTTAACAAAATCTTTCAGATTATATGAATTTAATGGGAAAGTGGATTACGAATTTCCATTTTTTCCGAATAAGCCCCCAAAACGACATCGTTTTTATGGTTGGGGGATTTTGCCAAAAAAAACCTTTGGACCTTTTACACTCTCAATGGGAAACAATAATACTTTGGAGCAATTTATTTTTAATGGAAATCCCGAATTATTTTTTTAATAGAAGTTCCTTTTTTTGCCCTTAATAAGTCGTTGACATCACATGAAGTCCATCCGACGGACGAGATCGATTTGACGGTAGTTCTTGGAATATTTTTTGAACATTATTTCTTATTTACTGTGTCTTTTATTGAAAGTGATTTATGAAATTCCTGTTTTATCCCTAATAAGTCGCTGACATCATATCAATCCCATCCGACGGATGAGATCGATTCGACGGTGATTCTTGAATATTTCTTGGGCATTATTTCTTGCCTACTGTACCTTTTATTTAAGTATAAGGATAACATAGAGCCTAAGAAAGAAATCCAGAGACACCAAAAAAAAAATAAAAAAAAAATGCTAAGCTATATTTAAAAATTCAAGCAAAATGAGATTTCAAACTGCATTCGAGAGTATCTATAAAATGTCTTGTTTGCCATAAGTGTAGCATACTCCTGCATGGTTAATCAAGTGCACCCTTAAGTTTTCTTCTTCTTTTTTTTTGCCCTTTTTTTTCCGGGGTGTCGACATTGTCATCATCACATCATCCCGCAAAATTTCAAAAGAAAACAAATGCTATGTTTGGATCACTTTTATAATGTGTGTTTTTAGGTATTGAAAACGTAAAAAGATATATTAAAAATATATAGAAGTATGTTGCGATGGAATATTTATTATTAAAAAATCTTGAAAAACACTAGTAAAAAAATGAAAAATGTTGAAAACACAGTTCATGATTAACGTTCCAAATTATATAGTACCTTAACTCAGATTACACAGTTCATGCTTTGCCAGATGATTGTATGCACTGGTTATGCTCTGCCCATCATCAAATGCTAAAATAAAAATAAGAATATGCATGGTTTCCAAAAAAAAAATCATAAAGCGTTTAAGTCGAAATAAGAATATATAATATCCAAAATAAGTAAAGGACAAAACGTACTTTTGGTCCTTCAATTAAGGGGGGTCACAACTTTTAGTCACTATTAAGTTTTTGTTGACAAAATTAGTCACAAGCTTTTTGTTTATTCATCAGCATTGGTCCATTTAACGGAATTTTACAAAAATTAACGATCAAATTTTTTAATCTGTTAATTTTTAATTTTTAATTTTTTTAGGTTGTGGGCGCACTTACGTTTGACCTGAAAAAAAAAAGAGAAAAAAGAACATAAAAAATTTGGGTTAATATCAAATACTGCGTTTCCCCACCACAACCACCGTGTTATTCTCCTCCCAAAAAGGTGCTCGCGGCGGAGATTCTTGAGCTCATCCTTGACATACTCCTCTTGGATTTCAATGAATGAGACCTGCCGTTGTAGGGATTTCAAGCGCGTGTAAAGATCCACCTCGTTATTGGATGCATAAGATGACGACGGATCCGAAGAGGAAGCGTCGATTCGGGTTGCCGGTGACTCTTTCGGGCAAGCACCATCGCAGTCGCCATTGATAGAGAGAGTTCTACAAAGAGCCAGAAAAAGCAGAGGGGGAAAAATAAGGGCAAAGTAAAGTAATAATTAAGACGAAAAATTGCAACAAGTTTTATATGTAACCCTACGAATTGTTAGTAGATGAGTTTTTATCAAAAGAAATGGCCCTGAAATAGGAGAAGAGAGGAATATAAATCGAATTTTAGAGAAGAGAAATATACCGACATCGGATTCTTAAAATCCAATTTTTAACGTAAATCGGATTCTCAAAATCCGACCTGCCTTAATACGAAAAATTAATTACAGTAATCAAGATTAAGAAAAGGCCGGATTTTCAAAATCCGACCTTGTCATATTAAAATATAATATTTTGAAGAAAAACACTTAGTTTTTTTTGGAATTAAAATTTTGACCAAGGTCGGATTTTAGAAATCCGATTTTAAGTGAAGGTCGGATTTCTGAAATCCGAGTAAGGTTATATCGGATTTTGAGAATCCGGGTAAGGTAAGTTCGGATTCTCAAAATCCGATGTCATAGTAAAACAGAGAAAGGTCGGATTTCAGAAATCCGACCTTGTACAGAAACTTAGAAAAAAAAAAAAATGATTGGTTATTGGTTTAGAAACCAATCCCAACCTATCACAACAGCACTAAAACCAAATTTCACGCATAAAATTACCTATAAACACATTCGAAACGCATCGTAACAAACATTAAAGAGTTTAAAATCATAAAGAACATCCAAATAACTCCTAATACACATCAAAGAGTCCTACAATTGAATTACTTGGACGACCTTTTTCTTCCCTATAGCCCCGGAGCCGGGAGTATGCTTCTCACCCGGTTTACTAACCCTATCACTCTTGCGAACCTCGACCGTTTTCTTTTTCTTTTGGGAAGAAACACGAGCTGGAGGGGAATCTTCTTCTTCTTCTTCTTCTTCTTCTTCTTCTTCTCCTTCGCCCCCAATGTAGTAATCCTCATCGCTTTCATTGTCTTCATCATCTTCTTACATCGGAGTTGGATTAGGATGAACTATGATTTTTCGATCTGAAATTCCCTGTCGCTTCCTCCTTCCTCCTCCAGTAGGCTTCGATGTTGTTTTCAGCGTGAGCACAACAGGTTGACTTGACTCCGGTGGTCTTTTTTGAAGAACCTTAGTATCGTTCTGAGTGCTCATATCACGTGGGCCCAAAGTTAGGACACTAAAACTTTTGTCGAAGATTTGCAAGAGTTTATCCTCTAGACTACCACCGAGGCCAGGATTTTCCCGTAAGGCTGCATCAGCGAGATGATATACGTCGCTGAGATTTGAAGACTGCAGAAAATTGAACTATGTTAATAAAGTATAAGATATAGGAAGAATTAAAAAATAAAAAAATTTTAAAATAAAATATCGACATATATCTTACATAAAATCTCTCCAGAGATGAAGACGAGTGATAACCCTGTGCCAGAGGGCTGTATTGAGTGAGATCAGTCATAAATCTAATAGTCTTCTTTTGAAACCACGGCATGTAGTCTGCTGTGCACTGAGGACCTAGTTCCGGATCAACCAATTCATGAGGGACCATGTGCTTATCTCTCACATTCCAATGAGGTCGTACCTCGGTGTGTTTTTGCACCCAATCATCATATGCCTTTCCAGTCCCAAGGCATCCGTTGTGTATTGCATTCCAGCGATCAATGTCATTCATTAACGGGTACTCTGGCACAGTTTGCTTACACTAAAATTGACGAAGGACCCGATTGGGCTCGTATGGTTCTCTGATGGCCCAACAAAAGATCCACGTCCTACAGAGGTAGATATGAACCCCCGCTTTACAGAAATCAGGGAGAGCGTCGATGAAGGGAGTGTATGGAGTCCATAGAAACTTGCCAAAATTACAAAATTTGTAAAAGAATAGAGAAAACAATAAAAAAGAATTTTATCGAGTAATAAAAATCAATACTTACATCACCACCCCTTAGGCTAGATAACTATCCCTGATGCCAGCAACACAATGAGCGGCGATGTTCGCTTTGGATTTTTGGCATTTCCACCTATGAAGGAAAGGAATTCTAGTTAAAAAACTATTGTTTTGAGACATAATAGGAAATAAAAAATAATAAAATAAATCTATAATTACCTATTGCCTAGTGGAGCATCCGGCATCAAGTAACTCTGATCTTTAACTTTTCTCTTTGGTTGAAGTCTTGGGATACGCTCCCAAACACATAACTGAAATTTTAAATCAAACAGAAAAGGTACAAATTAGAATAACAAACAAAAATATAATAAAAAAATATAAACAAACAAAAAAATTTACCTGCATCAGCATATAGCATCCGGTAATGTCTTTCTTCCCGGGCGCGGAAGCTTGACACAAACCAAAGTACAACTTCGCCAACAAACCTGACCCCAACTGTAGGTAGCATAGACATCCAAATCCTCTAGTATTGTCAGGATCCAAAGCGGTATTCTGTTTCCAGTATTGTTAGGAATCAAGAAACCTCCAATCAGTAGTAAAAGTAAGGCATGGGCCCTCTGTGTATAGGCCTCTCTTGGAGCATTTTCTAGGCTCGAAAATTTACACTCGTTGATTAAACACTCTGCATAAATCTTATTCCCATCAAAGAAATCACTAATGGGTGTAATTCCCAACAATCTAAAGCACATCACCATCCACTGTGCCATAGAATTCTCAGGTGTCATCCCCTCCACAGGCTTACCATCCACTTTCAAACCTAATAACACCTCAACGTCTTCTAGAGTGATAGTGGCCTCACCAAAATGAAAATGAAAATGAAAGGTATGGGTTTCAGGCCGCCACCTTTCAACCATTGCGGTGATCAAACAATTGTCCGCTTGGATATAACCTAGTTGGATCACCCCTCCCCCAAAATCCTGTCCGCTTTATCTCTTCTATAACTTGTGGAAGGCATGTTGAACCATCACTTTCCTTCACATAAAACTCTCTCTTTTGCTCTATGTTCCACGCTGCAATATCATTTTTTGCATCTTCTTTATTCTTAAAACAAGTCCATATCCCGATTGTTGTGGTTGTCCCGTCTCACATGGTAAGTTGAAATTCATCCTTGTCCACTTTTGTATTATCCCATGTACCCTGTGAATGATATATGTGCCTGTCCTTTGTGGCGAATTTGTCTTCGACCTCTTCATCACTCTCCCGACTTCCTTCGAATATTGATTGGTTTTCATCGCTTTGATCACTTATCGATGTGTAGTCCTCATCATCTTATGCATGATTATCTTTCATGTGATCGCCATCCTCCATATTCGGTCCACCCACATCATCATCTTCCATGTAATCGACATTCTCCACATTCGGTCCACCACTACTTGTCCCTACTTCCAAATGGGACCTAGAAGTACCCGCCACCTCCAAATCTACATACAAATCAATATATGTCGAATTTGGGAGAAAATACAACACTTGCAACGATGCGTTGTCCTTGATTTTGGCGATGCGCCTAAACCATTGCCCATCGTATCATACAAAATCGATAGACTCAAATTCACATTCCCTCTATTCCACCCCCCTCTTTCACAAATCAATCCAAACAAATCATTGTACAATACCTTATAATCAATCACAAAGGAATCGCCCGGCATGTTGTTAAAAGTATTCACAATCCCATTCTTCACAACAAATTTGCTCGACCAATAGACATTAATGAAATATGGACCATTAAACGCCATTTATATCTGTTGATTACATGAATTACAGCACATTATGAATAAATTATTAAAAAAAAGTACACAAACAAGGCATTATCAAACAAATTATTATAACAATTACCACAAACAAGGCATAATCAACACTAAATTTACTAAACCCCCTACAAATTCAAAAGTTTAGGCCAAATTCAAGCATTTTACTAAAAACATTCAATACCACGTATACAACAACAATCATCAAGTACACCCAACATCAATCTTAAAACCTTATAAATCATCCTAGTTCTACACTTTTACAAAGAAAACAACAACAATAATCCTAAAAACATTAAAACAATAACAAACCTTCTTGTGAAATGGTTTTAAGACATCCGTTGCAAAGAATCGTGAACAAAATCTTCAAATCGCTACCAAATCACCTCCTCCTTCAAGAAATCGCCTCCTTCACCAAAATCCCGATATGTGAATAGTGTTTTTCGTCGTCCCATTATAACACAATAAGGTCGGATTTCTGAAATCCGAGTTTATAAGTAAGGTCGGATTTCCAAAATCCGATTTATATATCAACTCGGATTTCAAGAATCCGACCTTCTGCACACCAATAACATCCATTCAATACCGATATCTACTGTTAGGTATTCTTAAATAAGGTCAGATTTTGTAAATCCGACCCTCTACTGTTCTTAATTTTCAAATCTCCCGCCTATATTTATTTTTTAAGCATAAAGAAGGTCGGATTCCTAAAATCCGACCCTACACTGTTCATTAGTTGGCCTTCATTTCATATTTTTCACATGTATTTTCCGAAAAAAATATTATTTTATCAAATCGGATTTTCAAAATCCGATTTACTAATTTAATTAGTAGATCTCCGTATTTTGCTTTACCAAAAAAAAAAAAAAGATCTATCTATTCCTTTTTCTAGGCATTTTTTAAAACAAGGCACCCGTTATTAGATTGTAGCGTAGGAGATCGTTATCTAAAACAACATTTATATAAAATTTTGACACAAGCACGACGGGTTAATCCAATAATGGTTAGAGTATTAGTAAAATTTAAAATAAAAACAAAATAGTTATTGAATGAAAAAAATACAGGGATCATTTGCTTAACAATTTTAATTTGCAAGTGCACAAGTCATTTGCTTAACAGGGACCTTGACGGGTTCATCTAATGATGGGTTAGGGTGTAATTAATTTTTTTAAAACAAGAAAATAATTCTCAAATAAATAAATATCGCAAATTGTATATGGTGGTTTAAAATGTGTTGTAGGATTGTAGTGTATGATATCCTTAGCCAAGCATCATTTAATTAAGATTTTGACAAATGACCCTGACGGCATCCAATGGTGGGCTAGGGTGTTACTATAATACTAATGGTGGACCCATGTGTTGTCCAGAATGTGAAAACAGTTCGATATATTTGAGCGGAAAATTTTTTTAATATAAAAGATTAATTTGTTAATATTTTAGATTGTTATAGTTAATAATGTTTTGATATTATTAACAACAAGATGAATTATTTATCACAATAGGGACAAAGTAAAAAATAAAAAACTTCAAAATATATTAGAATTATTGTACAAAAAATGTTATTAAACTTCTGGGCATAGATTAAAAAAAAAGAAGTAACTATGTTACAACCAAAGAAAATCACACCTTATCTAATGCTTCTTTTTCGACTACGTCTGTGGTACAGCTACCGAATTCCCCATTTTGGTTACAAATGTGTATTTTTAGTCCTTTTATGGATTTCACTCTACATAAGGCAACATACAGTTAACCATGCGTGAAGACAGGACGTCCTAGGTAAATTTTTGAGGCAGCCAGTGCCGGGTGATACTACGCACCTAAGGAATCTACCCAAGGGATGGACATATATACCACTCAGTTCCCTAGTATCGTACTTCCCTGCTTTATTCCATTAAAAGAAAAAGTTACCAAAGGCAGTGCATTGAACTTACCCTTGGTGATTACAAAAAACATCAACTCAAAACTTTACAAAATAGCCAGCCAATTACAAAGAGAAAACTTCCTGTACTACGTTAGTCTAGTGAGAAGATATGGAAAAGACCGCTGATCCAGAAGCACTAGTCTTTTTGTAATAAAAGGAAGAACTTGCTGAGAATGAAAAATGTGGCAATTTCCCTCTAAAGCAGTCTTCGCTAAATTGTCCGCAACCGCATTAGGTTCACGAAAAATATACTCTATCGAATAATTCCGTCGCTCCAATATAGCTAATATCTCCATCAAAGAAGATAACTGGCGCCAAGGAAAATCATGCACCTTCCGTAAGAGATCCACTAAGACCTTATTATCAGTCTGAACAAGAACCGGATGCAAGCTAAGCAGCTCACATCTCCGCAACCCAAATAACAACCCAGCAACTTTCGCTTCCAAGCTATCACCATCACCTATGAACCCTAGCACCATAAACAAAAAAAAAAAACCACCACCCCCTCGAATTACAAATCCATATCCCGTGCTTTGATCTCTAGAAGAACCATCTGTATTCAAGACATATGAATCTCCGTCTGGTGGTTTCCAACAAACTATTGTATATTTCCGCGCAAGAAGTTTACCATTCCAAACATGAAAATGTCTATCCGAAAAATCCAGCTCCCCCATTGATTTGCATGGCATCATATGGATTCGTAGTAAATCAGAAATAGCATTCAAAATATTGCCAATTAGCACACGATTAGAACAAGCTATATTCTCGAACAAAACCTTGTTCCACATCTCCCAAGTAATCAAGGAGGGAACTACCATTAACAAGGTTTTCACAGCCGTAATGAAACTACCCTTGCGCCACCAAGCAGACAACATTTGATCAAAGCTCTGCGAGCTATTCATCTCAACATCAAAAATTAGGGCTAAATAACTCCAGATCTTTTTAGAGAAAGGACATCCAAAGAAACAATGTAGTATTTCATCCCCTTGAGCCTTACAAAACAAACACATAGATGGCAATACCTGAATTCCTAGTTTACACAATCCATCCGGGAAAGGGAGAAGCAGATTGCGCAACTTCCACATAAAGAAAGAGATTCTCAGGGGGATTCGGCGATGCCATATGTTTTTCAGAATTTGCTCAACCGGCTTCTTTCCTCTAAACTGTTCATAGGCCGACTTAATGGAAAAGCAACCCAGAGGATGCGGTTTCCAAACATGAATATCCGGGCCATCCAAAAACTCATAATCCAAGGCCCTCAACACTTACTCAGAATGACCAAGGAGGAAATCCGAAAGCTCCATTAAGAGCTCATTCGTCATATTGAAAAATTGGCGAATTGTAAGGTTTGGCATAGGAGGAGAAGAAGCCAAATCAGTCCATAACACCCCCAATAGCGACCAATTATCATGCCAAAACGAGCTATCTCCGCAACGAACCAGGATTGTTGAGTGCTCACTAGCGCGAAGGTGAATTTTCTCAATCCTTTTCCATGAAATTTTCCTTTTTGCTGACTTTGGCAGGGAATGTAAGAATCTGCTCCATGGACCTTCACGCCGCTTTACTTTCCACCAAAGTTTAGCAGAAAATGCATCCATGACTGTCACAAAATTCCGCAAACCAACTCCATTCTCTGCGATTGTATAGACTAAACCTCCCAGGCTCTCCAATGGCGTTTCTTCCTTCCATCAGACTCCCCCCAAAGGAAATCTTGACACGTTTTTCAATACCCCTAATTATAGATTTTGGAGGAGGGATAGTTGCAATGACATGAAGGGGAATAACACTCAGGACATGCTTAATAAGAAGTAACTGACCAGCAGGGCTTAACAGCTTATTCTTCCAATTCAAATTCTTCCGATCAACTGAATCCAACAGAAATTGAAAGGTATCAGCCCTTAATCTCCCCATATAAAAACAGCAGCCCAAATACGTAAGGAGAAAGAACCCTTTGGCATATCTAAGATCTGCACGAAGACTTCCACATGACTGGCTCGACATCCATCATCAACTAGGAAAAAGCTTTTCTGACGGTTCATCTTTTGACCAGAAGCAATCTCATATTTGTTAAAAAAATTATTCAAAGCATGTAGAGATCTTTGAAGCCCCTTGGTGAAGATAATCAGATCATCAACAAAACAGAAATGGGATACTACATGCGCCCCTTTGGGAACCCCATGGGTAGCAAGCTTTCCAGAATAAGGAAGCTCATTTAAATTCCTAGTCATAACTTCCGACACCAGAATGAACAAATACGGTGATAGTGGATCCCCTTGCTTTATGCCCTGAGTAGCTTGAAAAAAAACCCGCACAGGAGAACCATTGATCAATATAGAAAACCAACTATCCCGCAGATTATTCAAGATAAGGCCACTGAAGCGCTGCGAAAAACCAAAAGCCGACAAAGCCCTAGACAAAAACGACCAAGAAACCCGGTCGAATGCCTTCATCATATCGATTTTTAAAATTATGTTATCCCCAACAACCTTCTTATTCAAAAATTGACATACATCCTGTGTCAGCAATATATTATCTGCAATATCCCGTCCGGCCAAAAAAAGCCGATTGCTCTTCCAAAATTATTTTCGGCAAAAACCACCTTCAATCCCTCCGTGACAATTTTTGTAAAAACTTTATTAATGAAGATGCACAAGCTTATGGGACGATGATCAGCAAAAGTAGAGACCGAGTCTTTTTCGGGATCAAGACAACAAGTGTACTTGCAACAGCTCTTGGCAATGGAACCCCTACCATGAATTCGCAACAAGCTTGCAACAAATCATGAGAAATAATGTCCCAGCAAGCTCTATAAAACCGGCCTCCAAATTCATCAACACCAGCGCACTCTCATCACTTAGATTAAAAACCGCATTCCTTACTTCATCAAGCTTCATTGGCCGATTTAGAACACCATTATCAATTTCATCCACAACTGCCAGAATACCTTCAAGAAAAGCCAACTACCCCACGTCTCGGCCTTCACATGTTTCCTCCGTCAAGAGATTTTGAAAAAACTAAACTGCCTCCGCCTCAATACTGTTCTGATCATGAAGCCAGACACCCCCTTACGATTGAATTTTATGAATTCCAATACGCGAACGTCTTCCAGCAAGAGAAGCATGAAAGAATTTGGAATTTTGAGTCACCATCTTTCAACCACTTCAAACGCATTTTCTGATGCCAATAATAATCATGTTCCTTTAGTCGTGCGAGACGCACCACCTTTGCCTCATTGAGCTTAATCTGATTATCATCTGACGGATTCCCATCATAAACATTTTCAAGGCCTTGAACATTAAGCTCCTCTTTTCGTATATTCTCAAAAACATCTCCAAATACAGACTTGTTCCATTCTTTTAAAACCCCCTTCAACCTCCTCAACTTCAAAGAAAAAGCTAACATACCGTATGAATCTACTGGCTCTTTCCAACTTGTTCGTACTAGCTCCAAAAAATCAGAAAACCGTAGCCACATATTTTGAAAACGAAACAATTTTTGTTTGCTTTCCAATTGAGGCGAGAATTGATGCAAAAGCGGGCAGTGATCTGATGTAGCTCTATTAATATTTTCAACTGAAGAGATTGGAAAAAGACTTCCCCATTCGATAGATAGTAAGACTCGATCTAGCTTCTTACTAACCCAACCTGTTTGTCTTGTGCCTCCCCATGTAAACTCCTCACCAATAGATGGAAGCTCCAAAAGCTCACAATTAGCAATACAGTCACTAAACTCCTCAATGGCAGTATGATCCTGGAATGAACAACCCGAGTACTCCTCCAAGGACCGAATCACATTGAAATCGCCAGCCACCATCCAAGGAACATTTCCATACCGTTGTTTAAAACTCACCAAGTTCGACCATAACAACTGTCACGCCTGCCTTGTTGATTTTGCGTAAACAGCTGAAACAAAGAATGTATCCAAGATAGAAGGATTATGAACCTCCATGTGAAGTACCTGTTCATTATCGTCCAAGACTGATACCGTATAATCATTCTAACAAAAAACTCATATCTTACTCGTACAAGACGAAAACCTTTATCAAAGGCTAACTCTCTACGAATCTCATCAATTTTATGAATTGGCAACATAGGATCCTATATTACTAAAAAAGAAACTCTATGCAATCTTTTCAACACCTTCAACCGTCTTTGTGAGGCTTTACTTTTTACGACTCGTATATTGCAAATTATCTGACTAAACATTGGAAGATGATGTGGTTTCATTTAACCGAGGAGACCGCTGTGGAACCAGCCCCTCCTGCGGCCGCAATCGTTCAGCTTTTGTTTTCCTTCCTCTTTTACCTTTTACAGTCAATTCGCATTGCTCCGACTGTTTTACCAGAGCATCAGCTATTTCCCCCTCTGACCACCGGCCAGTTCCAACATTTGCTTTATCATCTGTATCCTCTTTTCGGTGGTAATCAACCTGAGCATCATCTTGAATCAATAATTTCTCAAGTGATTAAACTGGAATATTTTGCATCCCTTGCTCTACTGACGGTTTATCATTTGATGCAAGCACTTCCTTTCCCGGATTCACAAAGCTTCCTCTGAGTAGACCTCTTCAATTTCTTCGTCAGATTCCTCAATAACTTCCAAGACAGAAAACCTATTTGATTGCATTGCCGCATCAGTTTCAATCGTGACAGCACGCTGTTTTGGTTGCTGGGCAGTAGAGCTTTTGTCAAGATCAGTCGTGACTGCGCGCTGTGATTAAACAGCGTGCTGCTTTTGTTCGTGATTAGTACCACTATCCGCGATGACAGCTTGCTGTGTTTCAACAACGAGCTAAGCCTGATAGCAGTTGGTCATGGAAGCAATTCCTCAAAATGCGAGATAAAGCTAGAGAGGGCTTTATAGATGGGAAATAGAGGGGGAATAGGAAAGGTGTATATACTGTATACTCAGGGTATAAATGGTTGCAGGGAGAAGGACAGAAGATGCCTGAAACAGCAGTGATTTGGTCAAGGATGAATGTGCCTAAGCATGCATTCATAGCTTGGCTGATTTGGAAAGGAAAAGTGTGGACCGGGGATAGATTAATGCAGTACAATATCTCTGTTCAAGATGAAAGTTGTTGCTTATGTACAGGGCAGAAGGAGACTATAGAACACCTGTTTTTTCTGTGCCCCTTTTCCAGTGAGTTGATTGGTAAAATGGACTGGTTGGGGATTTGGAACCTAGCCACTGACATGAGGAGATGGAAAAAGGAGGTACTGCATACCTGGAAGTAGACTAGGCTCAGAACATGCATTCTGTATGCTTCACTGGTGGCATGTTTGTATAGCATTTGGGAGGAAAGAAACTGTAGAATCTTCAGGGATCGAAAGCGAAATGAGGCAGCTATCTTCACAGAACTTCAAGAAGTGATAAGAATCAGGGTCCGACAGTGGAAAGGCAACAAGCTGACAGAAGCGGAACGCCTAATCCTTCACAGTTTGATGCAATCTTGAGTGATCAAATGGGGTGGTTTTTTGTTGTAAATATGATGTAAATATAGATTTTTTTGGTAGGATCTTGTGCTTCCAGATTATCATTTATATGAAATTTACAGTTTTTACCAAAAAAAAAAAAAAAACAACGAGCTGTATTTCTTCCTAATCCTTACAAGTTCCCTCGCTAACAGTAGCAGCCGGAATATCCTTCTCCGTTGCGGCCTCCTTCTGCACATCAAAGGGTATCAATGACTTCTCAGTTGTAGTTGGGCCTGAGATGGAGACGATGTTATCTGCCCGCTCCTTAATCTTAACGCCTTCCAGAGGCTTCCATTTGACTTTTTGTGGCTTTATAACTAAGTCTTTTCCCTTCCCCCCTGTTTCAGATCCCTTCACGGGATCATTGGCCTTAACCACAGGGAATGTCTGCGGAGCCAGACCTTTTCTACAATCTTCCGATTTGTGACCAATTTTGCTACACTTAGAGCAATACGAGGGAATATGCTCATTAGTAAAATATTTCTCATGCTTCCTCCCCTTCTTTCCAATTCGAAACAGCTTTGGAAATTCCTTCGTCAAGTCCGTTTCTACACAAAATCTCGCTACAGAGGGCCTTGTAATGTTCAAGGTTGGTGCATCAACCTTGAGCAGCTTCCCGATAGCAGTCGCCATGGAAAATATAACCTCCGGGTTAAGATACTCAACCGGGAGATCATACAAAGAGACCCAGATTGGTAGAATTGGTGGATCTTCTTCATACTTAAACCCTGGAGTCCACTTTAAACTACGCATCGAATACCCAGGAATGTTCCAAAAGGTCCGAATCCAGCACTTCTGGTAGTCTTCTTCTCGATCAAATCGGATAAGGATGTGTCTAGGGTTCATCAATCCAATCGTGTAGGCGCCCTGAAACCCTAGTTTGTGAAATTCCTTGTAATTTCCTCCTTCTTTGGCCTCCCGTAGGAGAATTTCCCTACTAAACTCAGACGATGTGGTGAAATGAGCCGTTCAAATTCGTTGTCTTCAAATTCAAGCACTGGCACTCCATCGACAAATTTTACCGGCTTGACGAGCGAGGGCTTCAACCGCTTTGGCTCCATAGGCTGTTGAAAAAAGCTAGCAAAAGATCGAGGGGGTCTAGTGGGAACCCCCCTTTGTTGATCGCCAGCCATGTTGGCCGCCGATGAGAGAGAGAGGCAAAGTCGCATTTAGGGTTTTGGGAGAGAGAGAGCGTCGTCTGTAAAGATATTATTGTTGATTTTTAAACTTGGACGTCATAGGTATAAACCAACGTTTTCTGTTGGAAATATTATTTTGTAAAATTAAATAATTAATTTCGAATTCAAGGATAATAATTAAGTTGGCAACCCTTCACAATACATGGTGGTTATTTCCTTACAAGCCAATGGTTGTGTACTTAATTTTGTATCCTTCTAATTCTGCAGTGTTGCCTATAAATAGGTAAATAGTGCAGGATTTCAATTGAGAACTTTTGCATTCCTAAATTCTTGTGAACATTCAATAATTGCAAGTGCATGTTCTTGTCCTAAAGGCAAATTGTCAAACAAACCCGGTTTTGCAACATGGTGGGGGCAAATATTGTCTTAAGGAGAGTGTCTAACTGGTGCGGGAGAATCGTTGACCCCACCCAAAAAAAAAATTTAACCTACTCAAAACTATTAGATGGCAGTAAGCAGAGTCGATCCACAGGGACGACATTAAATCAATCAAAACTGATCAAAGTGTAAACTGAAAAAGTAAACAGAATAGATTGTCATTTGGGAGAGTGAGAAAGTCACTTGACAGAGTGTAAAAGAACCAGGGTCATCCTCCTACCTATCTATATCATCATGTATTGATTCTTTTAGTTGCTTTTGCACATATGGGCATTATCTGATCAGACACATATATTCTCTACCTTCACTCTTGATACCAGTAAAGAGTCCCCAATTTCATCAAATTACCTCCATATCTGTGACAATTATTCATTACTCCGAGCCATTTGATTATTTAAGCCCTAGTGATCACCTATGCAAATTAACTAACTCTCATTGATGACCGGAAATAATGGTTGACATTCCACCATCATAGACTAGTTTAAGCAGTTCTGCAACTATGTTCACTGTCTCAAGATTCCATAATTATGCATGCACAATTATCTAAGTGGCCAGTTTAACTAAAAGGTTAAATAAAACACTCAAACTAGATACAATGGTTCATATAAGAACTTGAATCAAACACTCACATATAGATAGTTGAGATTAAACAGAATGAGTTTAGCCACTCATGTTTATTGATCTAAACATGAGGACAATAAAGGATAAAAGATTCACCATCATTCAGTACAAAAGATAGAAGACAGAATGGGGTGAAGAGTGTAACAGAGCATATTCTGTCTGCTCACTTGACAAAGTGAACTTTGTCACTTGCCCCAGTAACTATCTGCACTCTTTCTCCTGCTACCCTCTGTTTCTTTCCTACTAACTAACTAACTACTCTAATTTTGGATCTGTTCTAACTTCCCAATCTTTTATTTTTCTAACTGCTAATGGCTGTCTATTTATAGAGATTTGGAGAGGGCTTGGAAGTTTGCTTCTTCTGGTCTTCTTCTTTTCGGTAGAGTAGAGGTGGTAACTTGCAGCAGCTGGAGATTTGTTTATTCAACAACTTGTCAATTTGCCAAGTGGTCGTCATCAGCCACCTTCTTCTCATCATTTATTTTTCCTTTAGTCTTCTTTTCCGGCGCCTCATGCTGTTGTTTGTTGTCTCTGCTGCTAATGTTGAAGATTAAAGAAAGAAGAAATAGAGATTTGTTCCTTCCTGTTCAGCCTCCAATTTAGCCTCCAACTTTTGCTCTTTTCTTCCTTGTTGCCTGGAAACATCTGCAACACCATTTCTCACCTCCAGCAGCAGCCATTCCATTAATTAATCAGAAACTGCAGCAATTGGCAAGTAGCAGAGTAGCTGTTACTTTATTCTTCATATTCTTCCTGTTTCTCTTCTTCCACTTGAAGCAACATCAACTTGCAGTGATGGTGTAGCAATCCTTTTCTTCAACAGTAAGATTTCAGCCTCTCTTTTCTCCTCTTATTGATAGAATCAACAGAAGCTATAGCAGTAGCTTGGCAGCAAACTAGCTTCCAATTCTGCAATTTCCCTCTTTGTTCTTAGGTTACCCCTTGCAGAGATCATCAGCTGTGATGATGATACAACCAATTCTTCCTTCCTAAGAAAGAATTCAGCTTTGCTTCTTCTTCAATCGACCACTTTCAGCCTTGATTTCCAGCAGCTCCAATTCCAGTCCACTTTTATGCTCTTTGCTCACCTTTTAGCCTCAAATTTGCAGCAATTTCCACTTTGGCTCTCTGATCATCCTGAAATGTAAAATCAACCCAAAAGTAAACTAATTTACCTAATTGACACTAATTTATAAGTAAAAATGAATAAGAATTGTTTGCTAAAAGTGGCTAAATTTAAGTGTTATCATTAACACAGCTAGAACACATCCAAATCTTTGTGATCCCCTCATTATTGTTAGATTCAAGAATCTATCAATAAAATTCATCATTCTTCATCTTTATTATTTAGTGTCTTTTTGTTGTCTCTTTGGTTACTTATGGGTGTCGAATCTACCAAAATAATTTATCAACTTAATACTGTAGTAGTAGTAAGTCGCGTCGATCCCACAAGGATGGGAGAAACTCTAATTAACCCAAAATGATTTAAGGAAAAGATAGTGGAGAGAGTAACATGAAAATAAAATATGAACTACCACTCGGGTAAGTGTGAATGGCACTACCTTGAGTGGACAGATAGAATAATAAACAGAAAAGGAACCTAGGGTCATCCTCCACTCCTCTATATATAGTTGTGTTGTGGTTTTATTTGTTCCTTTTGCATATATGAATTATATCTGATCAGGCACATATATTCTCTACCTTCCCTGTCATTACCAGTAAAGAGCCTCAGCATAACCAAATTACCTCCATCGCTGTGATAATTATTCATTACCATGAATAATGAATAATTCAGAGGGTTGTTATCCCCGTTTTCATGAACTAGTTCAAGCAGTTCTGAAAATTATGTCCACCCTCTCAAGATTCCATAATTATGTATGCACAATTAGCTAAGTGGCCAGTTTAACTAAAAGGTTAATTATAACACTTAAACTAGAAAATAAATCATATATGAGCATTACCAAAACATACTTGTATAGATAAGAGGGATTAGACCCTAGAAAGAGTTTAGCTAACTACAAATAGAAATACACAAGGATACGTTTCTAAGTATTAAACATCAATACAAAACAAGGAAACAACTAAGAGAAGGAGAAAAGAACTTACGAAATTGCAGCTGTCACCAGGTCACTTCCACGAGTATCTCTTCTCACTTCCCCGAGTGGCAGGCTGAATCTGCCCCTCCTAGTTGCTCCTATTCACTCCTTTGTATTTATATCTAGCTCTCTTCCTTACTATCCTATTCTAATTTATTGATTGGTACTTGGTTCCCTTGCTAATCTTCTTCTTATATAGAGCTTGAGGGAGGCCACCTTTTACTATTTTAATTTCCATGAGATCAAGTTGTCAAGTTGGCAAGTTTGCAAGTTGAGCAAGTTGTCAAGTTGAGCAATTTGGCAAGTTGTTCCTCGAGCTACTTGACAAGTTGCAACCCATACCTTCCCTTTCCCATCATCTTTGCACTTTTTCAGCAACATCCAATCAGCTCTCTTCCTTAGCCTCTAAGTTTCCATGAAGCTTCCAAAATCTGATTCTTGAGCCTTGCATTTATACGGCGCATCCTATCAGCAACATCAACAACAATCACTCGGGGAAGTGACGTTGTTCACTTGCCCGAGTGACAACAATCTTCCTTCAACCTTGTTCTTTTTTTTGTCCATTTCAGCCCATATATATTTTGCTCCTTTTATAATTTCAGCACAACAACTTGTGATGATGGATCAACAACCTTCCTTCAGCAGCATGGATTTAGATTCTTTTCTTCCTCAATCGATCATTTCCATCCTCAATATCCAGCAGCATCAATTCTTGTCCTTTTTAATGTTATTTTTTACCTTTTGGCCCCATAATTCCAATAAATTCTACTTTGGCCCTCTGATCACCCTAAAATGTAAAATTAACACAAAAGTAAACTAATTCTACTTAACTAAATCTAATTTATAAGTAAAAAGGAATAAGAATTGCTTGCTAAAAGTGGTCATATTTTTCTGTTATCAGTTACTAGCCCCATATACTTTCATTTTCAAGTGATTGTCCTTGGCTCTTGTTTATAGTCATAGCAAAGCAAGCAACAACAGGAAACTGTCTCCTGTTGAGTTTAAGAAGCAAACTTTTGTCGGTAGGATCAATGACCATTCAAGGAATGAGTACTCTTCTACCAATATTTGTGTCAGAAATGATTTTTGCATGAATAACCCGATCATCCAAATCAAGTACTTGCAACCTAGTTCCATTGCAAAGGCCTCTTGTCCGATCTAGATTTCGCAGCAACATAATGGGTACTCCAACCTTGAGTGTCAACTTATGATTTGGCAGGCCAGAGCTTTTGATATTGTTGAGGAAATCCACAAAATGCATTGAATTATTTTCATTGTTCGCACGTATATCCTGACGGTCAACACTGTCAAAACTGTAGTAAACCCTTGCACTTCCACTTAGGAGAGTCTGCATATGATCGTTTAGCAAATGGCCCTCTCCTCTAAAAGTTTAGTACATCCACATTAGCTTCTATGTTTGGATATATGGTGTTGTAAATAGTAGGAACAGGGGCACCGA